TGGGATACAAACTGGTTTCCCCAGAGGGGCTAAACAGCACCCCCCTGCCACTTCAGGGGGGGGGATGGCGTGTGAGAGTGGGAAGGTGGAAGCCCCTCTTCCATACACACGGCTGTCCCATTCAGAATTGGGCATTGCACACGTGGGATGTTATTTAATTCATGTCTACCCTGCTTTTCTTCCCAGTGGAGACCCAAAGCAGCTTAAATCATTCCTCTCTCCTCAATTTTATCCTCACAACAACCCTGTGAGGTAGCTTAGGCTGAGAGTGTGTTACTGGCCCAAGGTCACCCAGCAAGCTTCCGTGGCATGTGTGGGGATTTGAACCTGAGTCTTCCACATACAAGTCCAGTATTCTTAAACACTACACCAGTACTGGCTCTCTGAACTGAAGAGACCCACAACTCATGTCTGACTGTAACACAGGTCAGGGACCTACCAGAGTGGATGAGGAGAGAGGGGTTTCCATACTCTGCCATAGTTGTGTTGCCCTCTCCAGGGGGCCAGCTGGACAAACGTCTGCTTCTGAGTCTGCCCATGCTCCCTGACCTGCTGCTGTTTTTCATTATTTTGTAGTCCTGGAGCATGAAGAGAGACCCAGGGATGATTCTGGTACATATCAAGCCACACTCGACTCGACTCTGTCATGGAGCTCCGTATCTCTAATATCAGTTCATTGAATAACTGGTGTGTTTACGGAAGTGATAACATATGAACTCGTTCTGCCCATGGCGTCAGAATTCTGTGAACTAGACTTCGAAGTCCTGGATTGTCTAAACACATCTTTTCTGAAAGTGAAAGTACTTTCATACTTAAGACGTGACCCACCCCTATTGTCTATCCATGCTTGGCTGTTTGTGGCTGCCCAATAGTCTTTTGCATACGGTCAAACACATGCTTAGTTTATTTTTTTTTGGGGGGGGGGAACAATTAAAAAGCTACATCTGGGCATGAAAAAAATAAGTTTTGGAGCCGGGTTCTGTTGAAGTCCCATTCAAATCCAGTCTCTTCCTAAAACTGAGATCATAATATAAACTGCTGATCTACTGACTTTCCACAGCCTGCAGTTCAGCATCTTAACCACTTGAGCCACCGTCTTAACCACTTGAGCCACCTACTATTTTATTAATTGGCGCTCAGGTTTTTAGAAGAGACAGGACAGCTGACTGCTAGTGCCGTCCTAAGCAGAGTTACACTCTCCAAAGCCCAGTGAAGTCATTGGACTTAGAAGGATGGCGCTGGGTGGAAGGAAAGGAAGAGGGAAACAGACTGTTGGAAACAACTACCTTGTTAGGAGGCTGCAGCCTGACTGACTGTGGCCGCCGTGAGCTGTACTGGCTGTTCCTGTGGGCTAGGTTGATGGTTTTGGCAGGATATGCAAGTGTTTGTCTCCTTGTAGTAAACTGTGCAGAAAAGCACTGTAAGGAGATAGCTAGAGCGGCTGCTGTTTACTGTGCTGTGCCTTCCTTGCGCCCCTAGTGGCTGCAGTGCAGAACTGCATTAGAAGTAAAATAAATTGAGCTACATCAGGCCAAATGCGACATGACCCTGTCTTCAGGGGGCCCCTAGTCTCCCCCTCTTGGCAGCACTGCTTGTGAGCTGCTGCACCAATAACTGGAGTCAGCTTCCCTTCTGCAGCTTTTCGGGCTATATCCTCGGGAAAGGCTAGTATGTGGTGGAAGTTGGCAGTTCTTTCTTGCCAGAACAAAGGCACATGGGACATGTCAGCCTACCTGTTTGGAAGGCTTCATTCCAGATCTCTGAAAGCCTCATTATGTGTGTTCATCCTATAAACAGATCCAGGCCCTCCTCTGTGTCTGCCCAGTCGAGGGAAATCCTGTGAAAGTGGGTCTCGGACTCGTGCAGTTTTGACCATCTGTGAATCATTGTAACAAGCAAATCTGGACTTGTGGGTCACCATACCAAAAAATTTGGGAAACCCCTGTCCTAGGAGAGAGTTTTAGGCATAAAGGACAGCAAGACAGCAGGGCTGGTTAAGGCAAATAGTTACACAGTCAGTAGTTAAAAGCAAATCATTGAGTGTGCATTAACAATGACTGCAATTAGCAACCTTTGAATTGTTTATTTTGAAAAATTCTTTCATCGTGCCATCCAATGCTCCCTCTAAGCTGTGGAGTCTTGTGAGCAAAAATTCTACTTTGTGAGCAACTAGCATTAAAGTTGTGAGCAAGAGATTTGGCTACTGCATAAATTAGTTTGCTCTGGAGCCCCATCCTTCCTGAGCTGAGACAAAATTGTGTGAGCCGGAGGCTAAAAAAGTGTGAGCTGGTGCCATCTTGTGGATATAAATGCTCATCCAGAAGTTCAGGTGTATTACTCAGAGTGAGATCAGTAAACGTGTTCTGGGCTAAGTCCACACTGACTCTGCAGAAGGGGATTGTAAAGAAAAATGGTTCCTTCCTTTGTTCTGTATAATAAAACCTTTGGTTCAGGCTGCAAGAGGCGTACAGAAACCTCCCCAGAGATAGAGACAGTTAGAGCAGCGTGACCTTGCCAGCCAAATTGTTTGCAGCTGTGGGTGCCGGGGAGTACCACTTTGCTTTGGTCATCCAGTTAGCACTTTCCAAGCAACTGAAGTTATGGGCACCTGTGGGCAGGAGGCGAGGCCTCACTGCAGTGTGGTTTTGTTTCTCCCCCCTCTGGTCCATCACCCTATACATCACGGGCTTAGCAACAGGCAGGAGTGACATCATCTCTCAGGTTTCTGATTGACCTAACAGGCCTGAGGTCAATCAGAGACTGTCTTCATAAATCCAGTTCGCTTTTCCTATAAGGCAGCTTAGTGGGCTCTTGGCACCGAAGGCTCACCAGATGTTTTAACTTGTTCATTCATGATTTGGAGTTGGGAGTAAGCAGTGAAGTGGCTAAATTTGCGGATGATACGAAGTTGTTCAGGGTGGTGAAAACCAGGGAGGATTGTGAGGCACTCCAAAGGGAACTGTCAAGGATGGGCAAGTGGGTGTCAACATGGCAAATGGAGTTCAATGTGGCCAAGTGCAAGGTGATGCACATTGGAGCCAAAAATCCTAAATATAAATACACGTTGATGGGGTCTGAACTGGCAGAGACTGAGCAAGAGAGAGATCTTGGAGTTGTAGTGGATAACTCACTGAAAATGTCGAGACAGTGTGTGACTGCAATAAAGAAGGCCAATGCTATGCTGGGGATTATTAGGAAGGGTATTGAAAACAGATCAGCCAATATCATAATGCCCCTATATAAATCAATGGTGAGACCTCATTTGGAATACTGTGTGCAATTCTGGTCACCACACCTTAAAAAGGATATTATAGCTTTGGAAAAAGTGCAGAAAAGGGCAACTCAAAAGATAAAAGGGTTGGAACACTTTCCCTATGAGGAAAGGTTAAAGCGCTTAGGGCTCTTTAGCTTGGAGAAAAGACGACTGAGGGGTGACATGATCGAGGTTTATAAGATTATGCATGGGAAAGAGCAGGTAAAGAAAGAGGTACTTTTCTCCCTTTCTCACAATACAAGAACTCGTGGGCACTCCATGAAACTGCAGAGCGGTCGGGTTAGAACGGATAAAAGGAAGTACTTCTTCACCCAAAGAGTGATTAACACATGGAATTCACTGCCACAGGAAGTGGTGGCGGCTACAAGCATGGACAGCTTCAAAAGGGAATTAGATAAGCATATGGAGCAGAGGTCCATCAGTGGCTATTAGCCACAAGGTATAGCTAGGGGCTCTGGGGCAAGTGATGCTCTGTTACCCAGCCCGGCTTGTGCTATCGGCATCCATCTTGACTGCTTGCTCGGAAGGGCTATGCCCTTGGATATCTTTGGATTGCTGGAAGTAACTCCCTGAGACTGGGTGACTTGGAACCTTTGCTCTACGTATTAACTATGCTGGATATGCTTAGATTTGTTTTATTTTTCCTTCACAGTCGTGTCTTTTATCTGTTTTTAGCACATTAAATAAAACAGCTGGTTTTTAAAATCTTGTCGTGGATTTTGCCTTCATTGACCTCAAAGCCTTTCCCCAGAAGCCTTGGCCTTTGACCACCTCCTAGGGAACGGTTTTGTGTTTGGAAACACAGTTTGCAGTCCCCCTCTGCAGGGCTGACCTTTCTGGTTAATTTCCGGAGAAGCCGGTAGACTTGTCCCTTCCCTCCTGGGCACTTGGGATAGACCGAAAGGACTGGTGGCGTCTACCAGAGACTAGGGTGAGATTTAGTCTCTCTCTGGTATTCTGTGACTTTGTTTTGCAGCAAGTGCGTAATAATTTATTTTGGTTCTCTGTTTCCATTTGAAGCACCACAGACCCTGCTCACCAGGAGAGTGCCACGGGCCACATTTCCTTACAAGGAATTGCTTGGGGGGGGGGTTCCCTGTTGAATTTTTAGGAGGCCTCCACAACCATCAGGACTAGAGTCTTAATTGACTAAAAACTAATAATGGAAGAGTGGAAGGCATTGTCACCCAGACTGAGCACTATGCTGGATACCGGATTACAGTTTGTAGTGTACGTACAAAAATAAATAAAAGTGAAAAACACTGTAAGGTGTGATTCCTTGTCTGGCCAATAATAGCGCTTGCCTGATTTAGCACTAAAATGGTTGCCCAAGATCGAAGCAAACAAGAAACAAGAGCAGACATGTCAAAAAGCACCTTGGAAGACTGATGGTTGGACTTGTATGCTAATCTTACCCGGTGTCTCCTAAGTCAATACTGCCATAACAACACAAACAGTGCACTGGTTTATCTCCATAGCTCGTACTTGTGAGTTCAGTCAGAGTAGCTGGCTGCTTGGGGTCCCGTCAGGGGCATTCTGGTTGGGAACCAGCAGCTGTGGTCTTGCTGAGGAGCGTTGGTGTAACTTTCAAGGCACTTGACCCGTGTGAGAGATCCTCGGGTTCCAACCTTTTTTGCCCCAAGGGTTTGGACCAGTGAGGCCAATGCTGGTTTTACCTGCTTACAATTAAGAGTCCGTTGCAGGCTTCCAGACTTTGGCTCACCAGATGTTTAAGTCAGGAAGACGACAGCTGTGGAAACAGAGTGTTTCTAGAGTTTTGAAGGTAAGAGGCTTAGACCTGGACTCACACTTGGTTCAAAGCCTGTTTTCCCTCCTGTAATTGGAATCCAGAAGGACACACGGCTACTCCTGAAACACGTATTTCTTTAAAATTTAAGGAACAGCTGCATAAGTGGGAGCAAGACTGCACTGCTTAGGAGTCCGTTGTGTGGAGCACGCTTGGGTTCAGCTTACATGCAGGAATAGAAACGAAAGCCTTGGAGACGCCGGGAAGCGGACTGTGATTGTCCGGGTGTGTGTGTGTGTCTGCGGTGGGCGTTTGCCATGCAAAGCTTTTTTTAAAAAATGCTGTTTTCAACTGGGGAAAGATTAAGGTATCATAATCATTGCTTCACGCATGTAGCATAGTGTTGCTTATTGAATGATGAGATAGGTATTATTGTTTGTATACAATTGCATCGGGCTTTCAGGATCCATGCTCAGAACTCCTGAAATATAACTGGAGCTCAAAAAGCAAGTTGGATGGTGAGGGCAGGGGGCGTTTGGATTGTGGCTGTGGTTAGGTTGACTCCCTGCTTTTTTGGATAAATCCCCTGTTGTACCAGACTTTCTATTATGTTTTTCTTTCTCCCTCCCCACAAGGAGGAGGGGGTTATTAGGAAAACTCTGTAGGAGAAGGGACAGAGTTAAACTCCCTGCACCACCCCCATCACCCTTTCAGGGTCGAATTGACCTGCCAAGGCCCTGAACTGTGTCACGTTTAAGAGGCCCCAGAGCATCACCTCGAATTAGCACTTTATTAATTTTAATAACTTTTTTCCAACTTGCGGGCACCTTGTAGAGTGAGGCTTACAAGCCTCTGCGTGAGTCCAGTTCTGCCCCCCCCACCCCATGGCTGGAGATCTGATAATGAATCTCCAGTGTCATAATAGGTTCATCCTTCCTGTGGGGGATTTGATATGAAATGCAGAGACTCAGATGTTTCGTATGGATAAATCTGAGGGTTGTGTATTGTAATCGCCGTTATACAGTCTGCATTGACAGCAACTTTACTTATGAACGGGAGCAGGTTTATGAGCATCTGTCTTCACTGTGACTCGTAAAGGGAACCTCCATGAACAGAGGTTGTATATCTCTAAATACAAATGCTGCCTCATTTATGAACTTCCCAGGAGCACCTTTCTGCTCACTTCTGGTAACAGAAGGTTGGACTAAGAAGAGTGACTTCTTTCAGTGGGCTTAGGCAGGTGTGACTCTACTTAGCATTGTACTGTAAATATACTCCTTTTGTTATGGTTTATTTATAAGCCTCCAACACGCATCCAGTGCTGTTTGCTGAATATAAATTAGCTTCGCGGCTGCAAATGAGACTGGGGGGAAAGAAGGGGCCGGTGAAGTCATGTTTTGTTTTGCAGCTCCTTGGGTTACCTGTTGCCTAGCAACATTCCCTGCTGCTTTGATCAGGCTGTTGAAAGTGCCAAGGTGAAATGAGATCTTTCAGTCTTACCCGTCACTGTACTAAATCATTGGACAAGCATTTTGCACTAAGCTTATACCTCATTTTGAGAAAAACGCGTTTTAGAATTCCTGAAAGGCAGGGCCGATGGATCAGTGAGGTGCCGCCAAAACATGTGGGGTCGAGTTCGAGTCTTCTCCCCTGTGCAGTGCAGATTCCTGAGGCAGGCAGTGGGGGGTGTTGGGGGGGGACGGGGGGGGGACAGACAGGGCCTGAGGTCATGAAGCACACGTCTCCTGCTACTGTCAAGAGCACTTAAACAGCCACTGGATGTTGCAGTAGGAGTGAGAAGATATTCTGCCACATCCGGTGTCTCGAGCTAAGTTAAAGCGGAACCAAATCTGCAACGCTTTGCGTACGTTCATTGCTTGGAGCTCTTGGAAACCGAAAGGCGGGTTACAGAGTCTTTCCTCCACAGCCAAATGCTATGCATGTTTCCTTGGAAGCAAGTGCTGTTGACTTAATGGTACTGCTTGTAAGGGAGGTTGTGAGGCTCCCGTTTTCTCCATGCTGTATTGCCTCCTCAGCCGGGTGGTCTCCCGTGGGGTTCAGTACTCTGCAACGGAGGGTCTGGTAAAGTGGTCCATGTGGGTATCAGGAGTTCTTGCACTTCAGACATATTTACCGAATACCGCGTTTCCCTAAAATAGCACAATGGATATTTTGTTCCTGCAGCAAAAGCTGAAGGAGGAGAAAGAGGCCAAACGGGCCCACCTGGATGGGAGGCATGATTACATCCTGTCGATTGTCGCTTCCTGCGTGGATCTGGAGAAGGCGGAAGTGGAGGACGCCATCCTTGAAGGAACGCGGGTAGGGCGATGCGCCTCTGGAGGCGGACGCTGGTGCAGCCCGAGCCAAGGGAATGTCCAGTGGAGGGTTCTGACCGATAACATGTTTGTAGTGGTGGATGTTTGACTGTTTTGCTTCTAAGGTCAGAAGTAGTGCTTGTATCCTTGTGCTGAAACAAAACGGTTGTTTGGAAATTTTGGGTTATGTGAGTGAAAAGTACTGGGTTCGCCGCATGGAGGACTCGGACAACGGCATACTGTAGCACACGTTTATTGTACTTCACACAGACAAAGACTAAAGACTCACGGCCAACAGGGCCAACTATATACATATCCACCAGCCACCACCCCCCACTCCCATTGGAGGGTTTGAATGTCCCGCCAAGGTGGCTATTGGTTGGGGCTGGGGGATCCAGGATCCGAAGTCTCCATTGTTCTAGGATCCAAGCTCTGGCCTGTCCGCGGACCCCTGGAGGCGGTCCACGGACATAACAGCGAGTGTTCACTTTGGGGGCAAACTTATTACATTTTTATTCTGCCCTCCTTTATAGGAACTCATGGTGGTGTCCAGAGTCGCCCCTCCTTCACCTTTACAGCAACCCTGTGATGCAAAACATTTTAGACTCCAGGTTTTTTCTGTGCTTCCATGTGCTGGCTTTTTATTGGTAGGGTACTGAATGGCGGTTGAGGGTCATAACCGTATGTCCTTAGGATCCCCCTCCCCCTTTGTTTTATTTTGTGAGCTACCTCAAGCCGTTCCCTGAAGAGGCGGCATCTAAATGTTCTGAAGAAATTTAGCAGACAAGGCTGAGTATGTGTGCCTGGCCCAAGGTCACCTGGTGTGAGCTTCGTAACTGAGTGGGGACTTGAACCCTGAACTTTCTAGTCCAAGTCTGACACTCTAACTGCTATACAACACACTGATCTGGGGGGGGGGAGCTGCTTTGGTTTGTATGACTGAGCCTGTGTTTGTGTGTGAAATGTTGGGATGTTGTAGCTGACTTCTGGCGACCCCTGGTGGGGATTTCAAGGCAAGAGAAGTTCAGAGGTGGTCTGCCACTGCCCGCCTCCATGTAGAAATCCCGGACTTCCTCAGTGGTCTCCCATCCAGGTATTAAGCCGGGCCCACCCTACTTAGCGTCTGAGATCTGATGAGGTTGGGCTCGCCTGGGTTTGGTCCGTAGCAAAACCCAAAAGCCCAGTGTCATGCCTGCCCTTGACTCAGCCCCAGAGCCAGCTCCTGACAGCCTAAGAGGGGAGGATTCTGTGCCTTTAAGAGCTGAAGAAGCATCAGGATCTGCACCTACTGTAAGTACTGAGGAGGATACACAGCAATCTGAGTCAACTACAGGACGGTTTGCACCTGGGATTGAGCAGGCCATAAGCAGCTCACCACCTTCATCTCCCCCACCTGTAAGTAGGCTTAGGGATCAGAGACATCAGGAGCTGGCTAGTTCAAGAGGGCGGAGATCCTTGAGCCCTGAGTTTTAACAGCAGCCAGGACCTCGCACAAAGGTGCTAATGAGTTAATGGGCCAGAGCACTATTTAGTAGGGCCTCTGGCCATGAGCAATTTGTGCTGGCAACCTTGTTCATAGAACCAGAAGATCTGCACCTTGATTCCTGTTTGACTCTGTGGCTTTTGGACTCGGCTTGTGCTTGGACTGCTCTGGCTCCTGACTTCCAGCTTTGAACCTGACCACGCCCTCGGCTTTGCTCCCTGTATTCTGACCTCTGGTAACGTTTGACTACGGCTTTGTCTGGTGTTTTGGGACTTGTTTAATGCTCTGCTGACTGCTCTCCTGGCTGACCTTTGGACTTGTATTGTGACTCCCCCTGTCTGCCTGCCTCCCTGGCTCTACTGTGACACCCTGCAATACTTCCCAGCAAGACCAACGGGTGTGTGGTGGGAGGTCTTCCAGGCATCTGAGTGCTTCTGATGAAGAGAGAGACCCTTCAGGTGGAGGAGAAATGGACTTTCCAGAAGACACCTGCAGTGGGCTCACTCCAGCTTGGTTTCCATTGACTATTTATCTAGCCCACCAGATTAGTTCCGGGTATTGCTAACACCAGGACTTCCCACACCCCTTTCCCTCTTCTCCTAACCTCTTAAGGGACCTGTCTGGTTGTGGGGAAGATTTTGGTCAACTACCGTGGGTTTTTTTTTGTCTTTTCTTTTGTTGCTTCTTCTCAGAAGACCAGGATTGTGTCCAGATACCAGGCACACCTGGGCATACGGAAGTCAACAGAGCTTCCAGTCTTGAGTGTGGGCGACAGGCCTTTGGAGAGCATCCCCAAAGGTCCCCTACACTGAGCTGATGAAGAGTTCTGGGGAGCTCAAAGGCTTCTGCTGTTGTCTGTGTTACTTCAGGGCCTTCCAGTTTCTAGTCTACCCTGGTCTGTTCCCTGTTTCCTTGCTCTGCTGCTGCTTTGGAGGCCCCCCCAGCCCCCCCAATAACTGTTAAGGTGACGATGACCTCCCGAGGGCGGGCGAGTGGCCCGGCCAGCCTGCACCCAGCCCACAGCACAGCGTGGCAACACAGTGTGAAGTCACAGCTCCTCAGAGCCAGTCAGGTTTGGCCAAGTGAGCGCAAATTAAAAGCCCCCTGAGTGGGGGAGGGAACGATCGATCGCGCCCTCTCCCTGAATGGGCAGGCCCTTTGATTCTCCTTCAGAGTGATATCTGCAAAACTGCAGAAAGGGAAGGAAGTGAGTTAGATGCTGCTGGAAATGTGCGTGCCCAGCCCCCTCCCCAGCCCAGCCCTACAAAACAGGAGTGACTCGGATGCCCCAGATTCGTCTCGGAGAGGCCAGGGGACCCCCCCGCAAGGCATGTTCTGTAGCCACCCAAATGTCACTTGCTGATCCCTCGAGGGAGAGCTCTGCGACGGCATCTTCTCCTCCAGCTGCTGCTGTTGCACAGGGACCAGATCCTGCAAGGCGAAAGGTGCCGTTGCTGCACGGCCGATTCCAAGGAGCACCGGGGGGGGGGGGGAGAGGCTGTCAGTCACCCCAAACCCCAGTCATGCACAGTGTTCCCTCTAAGCTGAGTGAGTGTGAGCCAGCTCACAGTTTCTTAGCCTCCGGCTCACACATTTTTGCCTTAGCTCAGGAAGGAGGGCTCCAGAGCAAACTAATTCATGCAGTAGCCAAATCGCTCACTCACAGCTTCAATGCCAGGTGGAGCTCACAAAGCAGAATTTTTGCTCACAAGGCACCACAGCTTAGAGGGAGCACTGGTCCCCCGCCTGGGAGAGGGGGTGCCCTTGCAGAGGAGTGTGCAGCCGCTGCCAGTGTCCCTGCATCCTCATTATAGGTAGCTCTTCTGGGCACATGTTCCTGCCCTGTTGCATGATGTGGGGTATACCGCTGGGTGGGCACCTCTGTACACAAACACACACAGACCCCTAGGCTTGGATGTGGGAGTGTGCATTGTCAGGGGGGCTCCCAAGGGCAGGGCCGCTGGATTTCCACTCCTGCTCACCTTTCAGTGTGTGGTCACCCCCTCCGTCTGTGTCTCTGGAGATGAGGTAGCAGTCAGAATTCTGAAATGAGACGTGTTAGCCTCACACAGCCTGGCCTCTGCTTTTAAACAATGGAAGAGAAAACAGAATCAAGTCACGTTTCATGACACAAAACGTTGTCCTCTACAGGGGCAGACCAGGCCTCCAGAGAACAGGTCTTCCCACCCTGGTTCACTATATTGGTAGATTTACTTTGGTTTTTTTTTTAGTGAAATATGACAACCAGCATTACAGGTCAAGTATAACAGAGGTGGAACAATCACTGTCAGAACGCTGCCTAACCCTAACAACCAGGAAGTTGCTTAAATGCTATCAACCTGTCCAAACTACTCATTTATTCAGATATTTATATCCCACTTTCCCCTGTGACTCAAGGCAGCTTACAAATCATACTGAGAAGCATCCTAGGGGTGTGCAAAAAATATTTTTTCCTGACTCCTTTGTAGCCTATGGGCCCCATAGACTATAATGGAGAATCGATCCAGGGGTGTCTGGGACTCGGGGGGGGGCTGTTTTTTGGGGTGGAGGCACCATATTTGCAGCATAGCTGTTGGTGCCTCTCCTCAGAAAACCCCCCCCCCAAGGTTCAGAAAGATTAGACCGGGGGTCCAATTCTGTGGGTCCCAAAAGGAGGTGCCCCCATCCTCCATTGTTTGTGAGCTGAAGCAGGAATCCTCTGGGCTGGTCTCTGAAACGTGGTGCACCAGCGCCCCCGAGCACAACTTAGAGGGAGCTGCGTCTACACCTGCGTCTGAATCAGGCCCGACCTGAGTCATCCAGAATAACAAACTCCCACTGGTTCCTGGGAGCAGGGTTGCCAGCCCCCAGGTCCTGACAGGGGTCCCCCCACATTTGGGGGATCTGATTCACCCTCAGCCAGTTGGCCAGTGGGGGAAACCCCACCCCCAGACAGGGTCATCATGACGTCACCCAGAAGGGACGTCATCACGTCTCTGATGTCGGGGGAGGGTGATGCTCTAGTTTTTGGGCAAACTCTGTGGTTTTGAAGGCAAAAAAATCCCATAAAGTTTTGCCCCCAAACTAGAGCGTCAACGTTGGTGATGTGGTGACTTCTGGGTGAGGTCATTGCACGGTGCCCTGCAGAAGAGCCCCAGGAGGGCCTGGGAGCCCCCTCCTCGCCGGGTGTAAGGTAGGACCCGGCAACACTACTTGGGGGGGAGTGCGGGGAGTTATTGGGCTCAGGTGGCTCCATGTTCCGCCTGCCCCCGGTCCTGCCCCTTCCTCCGCCAGGGCATCAGTTTATGCCAGTTGCGCCCTGTCCCTTTGCCGTGCTGGCTCCTGGCCGTGACACCGCGCTGATGGGATGCCGCTCTGGTGTGCCACGGAGATCAGATGGTTTTCCTGGCCAGGCTGCTTCTGGAGCACTTTCGGGCCCCTCCCCCTCAAGGGGAGGGGCCTGAAAGTGCTCGCCCTTGTCTGTGCTGTCGGCGTCTTGCTGTAAGAGGGCTGGGCGTGGCCTTTCCGTCCTCCCCGTTTTCAGTGTGAGTTTCCTGTTTGACCCCATTAGACCTTGACAGCAGTCAGGCCTCTTTGTGTTTTGGGATTTCTGCACATGCTTCACAAGCCACTGTGTCTAATACTGAGATTCGTGAGCCGTACCAAAATTTATGTGCTTTGACTGCACCATTAGTTTTAATGCTCCACTCTAGTGGCAGGTACCTGTGGTCGTCTCCTGGTCCATGTTCTCACAGAGGAAGCGCCCACTGAAATGTCGGTTGCTTTTTAAAACTTGATTATAAATCCCCATATTGAAATTAATGCGAGCCTCAGGCTATGGCAGACACAACCACTACGGTGTTGATAATCTGAACAGGGCCTGAATTATTTATTTATGTATAATTTATTTAATAATCTAATAAATGAATAAATACATTTTCAGTTTCTGCACTCCAGTGTGAGAAATCCAGGGGTCCCCGGCCCTTTTGAGCCTGCAGGCACATTTGGAATTCTGACACAGCGTAGTGGGCCTAGCAACAAAATGGCTGCCACAAAATGGCAGGAGGTAGAACCAGTCACAGAATGGTTGCTTCAGCTTCCTTTCAGTCATGTGATAAAGATCTTTGTGCTGCTGTGGCAGCTGCCGCTGCCGCCAAAGAAACGTTTCTAAACATCTGTGCAGCAAATCAATTCTCCAGTGGCCAATCAGAAGCCTTGCTGGGCCTGGTGGGTGCCAGAAAAGGTGTTGGGGGTGTCGGGACCCCTGGATTATTCCATCCACGTGGCGTTTGAGCACATGGCTTCCGTCTAGCAAGTTTGTGGATATTCATCCAACTTCAAAGTGTGTGATTAGTTAACTTTGACTTTCAACAGATTGACCGTATTGATAAATTCTTTGCTGTCGGGGGCTTTCGTCATCTCATGTTCTACTATCAAGATGTGGAGGCATCTGACGCAGGTAGGGAAATGTCTGCCTCGATGAGAGCATCACTAGGAATACCTCCTTGCACATGAAGAAGAGAAAACCCATCCAGCTTTCCCCTCCTTTTGGGACTTCATCACACACCATGACTGTGCCTTCACATTACACATGGTGGGCGACCTGTGTCCATTTCCACAGGGCAGTCCTGCTTGTTCATCCCGAAAGCTGCACTTCAGTCGCTTAGAGCAATTAAAAGATTACATTGAGTCACATGGGGGATCCCCTAGGGTTGCCAAGTCGTACCTCGTCCTGAAGCGGGGGACTCCCAGGTCGATCCTGGAGTGCCGCATCCACGTCACCAGGAAGTGACCCGGGCACGCTGGGGGTGGGGCCACGACCATCCGAGGGAAAACCATAGAGTTTTCCCTCGGATGATCCCCCGCCCCCAGCGTGCCCATCGTGGTCGCGTCACTTCCTGGTGATGTGCACGTCGGGGTGGAGTTCCCCCCGGGGCCCAATCCGGCAGGGGTGAGGAACGGGCCTCTGGGGCGGGGGTTTCCCCGCCCCCCGGGGGGACTTGGCAAGCCTAGGATCCCCTCTGAAGATCCACTGTTCTGTGAGCTACCCGTGCAGGAAGACATGGGATCGTGGCCACACTTAAGTATAAGTTGGACTTGAACACTCTGACACCTGGTGTGGGATTCCTTGATGGTCAGTGCTGGTGGCGGCTGCTGTCTAATGAGATATTCTGGTTTTTGTTCCTCCTGAAATATTGCAGGACTTGGCCCAGCAGGAGCAAACTCTCACTCTGCTAAGCATAAGAAGGCTAAAGTATTCATAACGGAAGGAAAGGATGTTGCCTTGACTGGCATGTGTGTGTTCTTCATTAGATCTAATCCTTCCAAAGCAATCACTCCAGAGAATATCCATCATGTAAGTCATGCGAAATGTAGCAGTATAGAGATTCTGCCTCTTGGTCATGCCGAACGTACTCCCTGTCCATCGTACTTATGGGACAGCATAAGGAAGAATTGCATCCAGTGTGATTCCTCATCAGCTTGGTAGCTGCTTTGGCATTTCAGGAGCAAAACAGCCTCAGATTGTCTCATGACTAGGGGCTCTAATCTTAAGCACTCTTTCCATTCACAAGGGGCTTAAGGAGTTAGTGGATGGGTACGTACCTCACAGGTGTGAAGACAACTACACTGGCTGCCTGTTCCCCCCCACATTCAGTTCAAGTGCTGGTGATGATCTTTGAAGCCCACCATGACCTGGAATCCACATATCTGAAGGGTGGTGTTCCTTCATATTTCCCCCGTGTGCCGATTTCACTCTTTCAGTGGCCCTCTACTGGCCATCCTTTTGTAAGTGAAGGATTGTGCATACCAGGACTCCATAGGGGGCAGATGAGCTAGTAAGGCAGATGGGTCAGAATCCTCTGTGTCCTTCCTCTTTTGTGCTGCTTTTAGTTTACCCAGATTGCTATTCTCCGCAAACTTTTTTCCAGCTGTCTTCTTCCTGCTTTTGTGCTTTCTTTCTGATCTTCATGAGGGCAACATGCATTCTCTGAATTGTTAGAAGTGAAAGACTTTCTCTTTTCCAACTTGCCACCATGAGAGCAGGACGTGTTTCCTGCATCTCCGTCCATCCTAGTTAGTTAGATTAGATTAGAATCCTATCTGTACCCTATCCTGGCTAGAATGGAATTCCTTACAATAAAGGACTCATGAGTGCGCTAAGATAAAAGGGCTCCTTGTGTAACACACAAGCACACACACACACCAGGTAATTCCACTGTGACGTGTGCCTGGAGCACTCTGCTAATCCAGATTTCATCATGAATCTCTCCCCATCCTAGTTTAGATAGATATAAAGCCATATGCCCGTAATTCCTTTCCTATCAGAATATAGTTTTCTCCAACAAATAAAGAGCATACACTTCTTTTCTGAAGCAACAAACCTTTGTGGACCTTTTCTCTGAACGCAGCCTCCCCCTGATGTTGGGGCACAGTCAGCCCCTCCCAGAATCACTTGCTGGACATTTGATAGCGCCTGGTACTTTTTGACAGAGGTTCCTGCCTTGTGGAATGGGCTCCCTACGGAGATAAAGGGGCCTCCTCTCCGGAGGGCTCTTAAAGGCCGTTTTATATGCATTTAGCAAGATAGCTGCAAATGTGGTGTTTTTTGTGGTGTGTTATGGTATTATGGAAGAAGAATAAGAAGAGATTGGATTTATACCCCGCTCTTCACTACCGAAAGGTGTCTCAGAGCGGCTTACAAATGCCTTTCCTTTCCCCTCCCCACAACAGACACCCTGTGAGGTAGGTGGGGCTGAGAGAGCTCTGAAAGAACTGCTCTTTTTCAAGGACAGCTCTGACAGAACTATGGCTTGCCCAAGGTCATCCAGCCAGGTGCAAGTGGAGGAGTGGGGAATCAAACCCGGTTCTCCCAGATTAGAGTCCACACACTTAACCACTACACCAAACTGTAAGCCACCTTGAGCCACAAAAGGAACACTGGAACTAAAGTCATCTAATGAATGAAGAAATGAGATGTGCAAGCTAACTAGGCTGTTTGTCATTTTGTTCTCAGGAAGTGGTTTTCAATATGTTGGATGCGCGTCACGGGGGCTTACTGAATAGTGTGCAGCACTTGATGGCGGACATATTTATTCCAGCTCTGAAGACAATGAACTATGGCTGGGGGGAGCTGGAGGGTCCCCAGAAAGGGGCCAAAACGAAGCAGGACTTCCTGGCTTCTCTAGAGGGATTTGTGAGTGTCCTTTCAGGAGCTCAACAGTGCTTGATGGAGAAGGTAGGCCCGTGTATCTGTGAGCTACAATGTGGGGTACAGAGGGGTTAAACAAGGACACCAAGAGAGAATATGCCGCACATGCCAGGATGCCACAAAGGTATGGGGTCAGTTCTGAAAAACGCTGGCCATGTCAAAGTGGCGGTCATGGGACGTCTTTTTATGAATATCATGTGAAACTGTAATATGCAAGAGATTAGGTACACTCAAGAATTAATTGGTTATGAAATTCCAATTAACCCATCGGTAGTTCCTTTGAGATATTTGAAAGTCATTGTTAACGATGGAAATTGGGGGTGGCGGGGTGGTGGTGGCTTTCGTCATGTTATCACTGGGAAGATAGTGGTAACATTAATTGATGCCAAGAGTAGAGGAATGGAGAAAAAATGGGATAGACGGGGTTAATTAACAAATTCACTTTAAAATTTGGGTGATGGGAGAAGTCTGTTCGTTCTCTCTCTCTCTCTCTCTCTCTCTCTCTCTCTCTCTCTCTCTCTCTCTCTTCAAAGGTATCTCCTCATGTATTGGGATGGGGTTAAACCAGCAGAAATACATGATTCTTAGTTTTAACAGTCATTTAACACTAGTGTGGTATAACTTTTTAATTTCTATATACTGGCCTCAATCCAGCAAAATGCAGCAGGCTTAGACTGAAGTAACTCTCCATCGTATGGCACTGCTAGATGTAGTTGTTGCTGAGGTGGCAAAATGTGTCTCTGGGCTGCATCAGGGCATAAGGCCGGCGTGAGCTGGTGTGGCTGGATGGTCCTCTGTACAACAACTAAAAAATCCCTGCACAGAGTGAACTTGTGTGTTGGTAGGTTCAGGTGGGTAGCTGTGTCGGTCTGAAGCAACAGAGACAAGCCTGAGCCCAGTGGGGGCACCTTTAAGACCAACCGAGTTTTAGTTCTGAAAAACACGCAGACGGAGAGTGATTTCAGCAAAGCGTACTTTATTTGATCAGGAACAAGACAACTTTGGCCGACTCTCAGGCCGGCTTATATTCCCCCAGAAACCGCCACCCAAAACACCCCCCAATTCCCAATAGGTTATTTACAGTGGCCGAGAGTCCCATTGGCTTCTCGGCCAGGAACCTAGCCCCCTGATTGGAGTGGGCTAGGATCCGCATAGTCCATTGTCTCTTGGAGCGAAGCTAGACGGTTGTCCCTGGACATGTCTGGACTTGTCTGGACTTGTCAGGACTTGATACACTACAACCCTCCCCCCTTGGTCCGCAATGCACCCACAGACAAAGTCCTTCAGGTGGGCTGGTAACTTCCTGGTGCGGGTAGAGCGGCGAGGTTCAGGGACTGCTGCTGTTTCTACTCCGGGAGCCCTCGGAGGCGAGCTGGCCGGGAGAGGTGCTGGGGGCAGCGGTACCGGCGTCCCCGGTGCGTCCAGAAGAGGTGTCTCGGGTTCAACTAAGGGTAGAGGCCGAGAGTCGGCCACCGGGAGTTGGGCCTGGTGTGAGGTCTCCGGAACCTCGGCCATGTCCGAGTCCTCAGGGTCTAATGTGCGGAAGCTTCCCGGTAGCGCCTGCAGACCTCTTAAAGGTGCCACTGGACATGTGGGTCTTGCACTACGGGGAAGCTTATTGTACCCAGAATTGAACCTTGTTGGTCTTTAAGGTGCCTCCACTGGACTCAGACTTCTTTCTAGTGTGTTGGGAGGATTGCGAAGTTTATACCGACGTGATGTTCCTGTGTGTCGGCGGGATTTGTGTGTGTGGAGGACTGTTCAGTCCAGTGAACCTCCACTTGCCGCTTGAAACAGCCCAGTCCAAGGCCCAAATTAGACGTGCTGGTGGCCACCTCAGTAGTTGCAGGGCCTGTCTGTGGGCTCTGCGGGACTCTGCAGAGAGAGAGGAGTTTTTGGGTTGCTTGGAATGCTGGGCAGGCTTGGGGACCTTGTGGCTGTTCTGTGTGAACGGAGAGGGCTGGCTGCGAATCTCGCCTGCAGCTGAGCACTGTGGTGGCAGGTAAGGGCTGGCAGACAAGCCGCCTTTCGAGGAAGGCCGTCCACTCATTCCTGACGTTTCGTCAATGGGAAGCTGATAAGCTTCAGAAGTCCTGTCCCCAAAATGCAGTTTGATGTTGATATACATTCTAATACAGATCAAGCCGCTGATGTCCAAGGCAGGGCCATGCACAACCCAAGGCAATGCTCCCTCTAAGCTGTGGAGTCATGAGAGCAAAAATTCTACTTTGTGAGATAGCGGCATTAAAGTTGTGAGCAAGCGATTTGGCTGCTGCATAAATTAGTTTGCTCTGGGGCCCCATCCTTCCTGAGCTGAGACAAAAAGGTGTGAGCCGGAGGGTAAAAGAATGTGAGCTAGCTCACACTAACTCAGCTTAGAGGGAACATTGACCCCAGGTGTCTTGGCTGGCGGCCTTGCAGGCAACAACCCTCTTGAGCTTTGAAATGGGTGTTCCGGCTAGCCTATCCAAAGTCATGATTTCATAGGGGCAAAAGTGGATTTGAAGTCTTGAAAGTGCAGCAATAATAGCTGAAAATGTTGATTAGGTGAATCTGAAGAAGTGTGAAACCTGTGATCTGAAGACCTTAAAAGGACCTGCGGACTACTTGGCTGCAGCCAACAGCATGGAGACGCTAGAATCTGTAGAGACCTGCATGAAAGTATGGATTAAGCAGATTGAGCAGGTAATTGTCACACTCCGCTCTGCTTAGTTTTCCACGGTTGTAGGGGGGAAGGGAAATTCCTACCGGGGGGGGGAGAGTGAATGCTGAGCGTGTGAATCGTGCTATTGTAGAAGCCGTAACTTTCCTGAAGAAGTCTTCCTCCCAGAGGAACGTAACGTCCTTGAAGCATTTGGTGCCAGCTTGCTTGGGTAGATAGTTGGGATTGTGTAATTCCCAGAGGGGGGGGTGGACAACGCAACGGCTAGGCGGGACGAACGTGACGTGTGATTGGTCACTTAGAGGGGTCTTGTTTGAATTACCTATATCTATACCTGTACCCGCCAAAATCCTCAGTTCTGACACAGTGCTGTTCTGGTCTGGATCCTGTCTATTCCTCAATAAACAAATCACTGCCAAAGAGAGTGTTGTTGGGAGTAAGGTGTCCAGGGGCCTGAGAGTAATGTTCAGAGGAGCATTGCTTCTGAATGTGGAATGCAGCCAATAGCAGACATTCTTGTACATGAGCTTCAACGCTGATCCTGCACTCTGATGATGCTGTTGGCAAACCAGCCATGAAACGGAAACTGAAGGTTTTCTAGGAGGCTGAAGTTGGTTCCTTATTCCCAGTTCCTTACTCATTTCTTATTTCTGACTTATTCAACCTAAAACACTGAAGTCTGAAAGCTCTGAACCCCAAAACAAGGCCTAGAAACCATATATCATACATTCCCACGTTTAGGGGACCCTCCCTTTCAAGGCGATATATGGCACTTCCTGGTCCAAAGCCTGGTTCTTGTGCCAGCTGCTCCAAATTGAGGTGCCCCCAGGACAATCACACAGGCAGACACTGCCCCCCCCCCCAAATCTTTGGACCATCCCAAATGACACATCCCCACATTCTGGGGACTGTCCCCTGCATGGAGACATACAGCACCGCCTGGTCCAAACACTGGTTCTGGTGCCACAAGCTTCTATTTGGAGTGCCTCCAAGAGGCCTGTATTTCAAAGGAGATTTGAATAAGGAACTGGTTGCCCTTTACACCCCAAAATAAGGTTTGGACCACCACATGTCACACATCCCAACGTTCAGGGGACACTTCAGGGGACACGTGGCTCTTCCTGGTCCAAAGCCTGGTTCTTGTGAAAGCCACTTCAAAGTGAGCTGCCCCCAGGACAATCAGACAGGCAGACACTAGGGCCAGGCTGCACCCCCCCAAAAAAAATCTCCTTTGCAATACAGGCCTCTTGGAGGCACCCCAAATAGAAGCTTGTGGCGCCAGAACCAGTGTTTGGACTGGGCACGGCTGTTACGTTTCCTTGCAGGGGGCATTCCCCAGAGCATGGGGATGTGTCATTTGGGGTGGTGCAAAGAGTTTTTTTGGGGGGTGGGTGGGTGCAGACTGGCCCTAGTGTCTGCCTGTGTGCTTGTCTTGGGGGGGGGGCTCACTTTGGAGTGGCTGTCACAAGAACCGGGCTTTGGACCAGGAAGTTCACTGTGTCCCCTTGAAGGGGGAGCGTTCCCTGGAGATGGGGGGAGGGTGTAGGATGGATGACCTGTGGCAGCTCTTCCCCGTTGAACTTTCTCCCCTCCCTGGACTCCGCCCGCTCTAGGCACCACCCCCAAATCTCCAGGAATTTCCCAAACTGGGATTGGCAACCCCAAGAAAAATGCACAAATTTGTACAAATATGTGCAAAGTCTTTTAGTCCTTAGACTGGCATTTTAAAGGAAGAGATTGCAAAAACCTGTGATTTAAAAGCAGTTGTCAGGCTTGTTATTAGTTTACGTAACCTTGAGGGTTTACTAAGGAGAAATCTTACCAAATAATCTAATAATATTGGAGCTGCGGTGGCTCAAGTGGTTCAGACGCTGAACTGCAGGCTGTGGAAGGTTGGTAGTTCAGCAGTTCAAGACCCAGGTGCCGCAAGACGGAGTGAGCTCCTGTCTCTGGCTCCAGCTCCTGCCAACCTAGCAGTTCGAAAGCAAGACATTGCAAGGGGGTAAATAGGTACCGCTTCGGTGGGAAGGTCACAGCGTTCCGTGCGCCTTTGTGTTTAGTCATGCCGGCCACATGACCACGGAAACGTCTTTGGACAGCGCTGGCTCTTCGGCTTTGAAACGGAGATGAGCACCACAACCCTAGAGTTGGATTCGACCGGCTTTCGAGCGAGGGAAACCTTTACCTTTACCTTTAATGTTGCCAGCCCAGGAGCTGGTGTAGTAGTGTGTACGTTTGCCTGGCCGCTTGCGTGCTTGGCTGGCAATCTTCTATATGCCTCGTAGGTCATTGCGGAGAATGACCAGCTACGGAAGGAAGCGGATGACCTGGGGCCACGAGCAGAGCTGGCCTACTGGAAGAAGCGGCTCTCCAAGTTTAACTACCTCTTGGACCAGCTCAAGACCTCAGACGTTAAGGCTGCACTTGGAGTGCTCACGGCTGCTAAATCCAAACTTCTAAAGGTATGCCGACTGGCTTGTGCATAAGCAGGGCTCTTTTTGTAGAAAAAGCCCAGCAAGAACTCATTAGCATAATAGGCCACACCCAACAGCAGAAACTCATTAGCCTATTAGGCCACACCCCTGACAGCACCACTCATTGGCACATTAGGCCGCACCCCCATGTTACCAGAAGTGTGGTCATCCAGCCACACCCACCTTTTGCTTCTTATTCTGTTGACCTTGTTTGTTGTCAAAACCCAGGGCCCTTTTTTTGTAGCAGGAACTCCTTTGCATGTTAGGCCACACACCCCTAATGTAGCCAATCCTAATGAGTTTCTGCTGTTGGGTGTGGCCTATTATGCTAATGGGTTCCTGCTGGGTGTGGCCAACTCAGGAGCCAGCCAGAACTCTGTTTTTGTGTGTTCCTGCCCAGAAATAGCCCTGTGCATAAGACCTGGAACCATTTTCATTATATCCTGCTCACTGTGCTTTTTCCCCGGTGAGCATTTATGACGGTGGGTTTTTTTCCCGTGGGCTTTTTTCCTGTGGGCTTTTCCCCTAGAACCGAGTAGAACATATAACCTTGGATCTTGCCAGATGTTTCTGCTGCAGGAGGGATTTCTGTCAGTGTATCGTGACCTCTTCACCAAAGGCCCCCCCCCCGTTCTTGAGGGGCAGGACACCTGAAAGCGTAGCATGGGGGGAGAGGTGCGGGTCTGCAGTGAGAGGAGGTAAACAAAGCATTTTGCCCTGTCCTAGGGATTACTCAAGATTAGTCCTGTTCGTGATTAGCGAGAGCATCTTCTAGTCCGATGTAAGGATTTTATTGCAATGACTGAATTACTAAGCTGAGGCCATCATACTGACGGTAGTTTAAAGTTGAAAGTAGCAGACAGTAGCAGAGTACTTGTGGAAGAGTATTTACAGTTTATTTTACAGAGCTATATACATACATGCAGCTTTGTAGCAGTTCACAAGACTGACTGGCAAAGTGCTTCGCAGGATATCCATATAACACACAGGGTACTTGGACAAGGACTTCACTCAATATATACAACCATTGTCCAATCATAGTTCAGTACTGTACAACTGCTTAGTCATTCTGACTTCTGCAGATATGATGCAACCTTAGTTATCATGTGACTGTCTACCTGTCACCTTAGATCATCAGGATCTGACAGTAGTACATGACATGCTGTCATCTTGCCTATATCAACACGCCTCCCAAGATACAGCTAGTCATTGGCATTTTATTACATAGCATTTCAAATCTTTCTTTAGGCAAATTCTTAGTGAATACATCAGCTATGTTTTCATTACTTGTACATTGTGTCAATTTTATCACACCACGACATATAGCGTCTTTTACATTTTGGTACCTTATCAGTATGTGCTTACTTCTTGTATGCACTCCCTGATTGTTTGCTAGTTGCCTAGCAGCAGAACTGTCACAGTATATTGACATTGGCAATTTACTATTTACATCAAAAACTAGCAGCAATTGTTGAAACCATTCCATTTGAATTGAGCAATCATTTGCTGCCGAATATTCCGCTTCACACGTACTCGTCGAAACCAAAGTTTGCTTGATTGATTTCCAAGCTATTAAAGCCCCATACATGAATACTGCAAAACCTGAAGTAGACCTCCCATCGGGCCTTTCCCCCCAGCTGGCATCACAGTAAGCTAGTAGTTCTGTTTCAATATTTACATTCAGAACAAGTTTTTTATTTACAGTACCTTTCAGATATCTCAATACTCTTTTTGCTGCTTTCCAGTCCCCCTCAGTTGGACTAGAACACTTTTGTGTCAACCAGTGCACTGCTATGCAGATATCTGGCCTGGAAGAACACGCTAGGTACAACAAAGATCCAACTAGTGACTGATACAGTTCTTTCTGATCAAACATTTTGTCACTGCTTTCTTTACAATAGCTGGTAGTCATTGGAGTATCAACACACTTAGCTTCAGTCATGTTATACTTCTCTAACAATTGTGTAATTTTGTCTTCCTGACTCAACACGAAATGTCCTTGGTCATTTTTGGAGATTTGCACTCCCAAATAATTTTGTACTTGTCCCAGGTCTTTTACTTTGAATTGTTGTAACATTGTTGTTGTGAACCAATCTAATTGCTTGTCATTATGGTGCACAAACAAAAGATCATCAACAAACACCAACACAAAACATTGTTGTGGGAATATATTTACACTATACAAACAGGGATCAGCTATACTTTGCTTGAAACCTAGTTTTGTTAGTGCTTCTCTTAAACATTCACCCCAGAGATATGCACTCTGACGTAACCCATAAAGACCCTTATGTAACTTCAACACCATATTTGGATTTGCACACTCAAAACCTGGT